TGCGCATGATTACAGATAACCAGCAGTGAATGAATAATAAATGCAATAAAGTAAATGGTAGAGAGATTTTTAAAGTGGTTCAGCAAGTTAGAACTTGAGCCTACATCTACTGTTATCTTATTATTTTTTAGAGCTTACAAAGAATAGTATAATTTTTAGGAAAATTTACTTAAAACAATTGCTCAACCCCCTTGAAAACAAGTTATGAAGGGTTTATATAGCACCTATTTACATGATAGAGTTAAGATAAGATTCAAATATGTAGAATTATGAAGTTGCATGATATTCGGCTACCTTAGTTGGAATCTAAGTCAATCTGAATATCTTCCTTTCAAATTGAGCCAATCTAAATAACTTCTCTCCTAATAGGGAATTATCCTCTCCGGATTGACCGCACAACAATAGCCCCCCAGTTTTTGGTGTGTAATCGCGCTTCAAAAACTCATGTCTTTGATCTGGATGGTTGTCGCACTATAGGCTGTAATCTCGAACTGAAGAACTTGAATTATGCTTGCCGTGATCTAAGAGATCTGAGAGATCTTGAACACGTGATCTCAAGTGAATGAGTGAGCCTATGAGATTAATTAGAGAGCATAAAGAGCTTGACCTGAGAGCAGAGAGAGCTCGATCTGAGAGTACGGGGAGTTCGATTAGAAAGTGCAAAGAGCTTGATCGGAGAGTATAGCTCGATCAGAAAGCATAAAGAGCTTGATCTGAGAGCATAACTCGATCAAAAAGTATAGAGAGCTTAATCTGAGAGCATAACACGATCGGAAAGCATGGAGAACTTGATCTGAGAGTCTAGCTCAATCTGAAAGCATGGAGCGCTTAATTTGAGAGCATTGCTCAATCAGAAAGCATGGAGCATTTGATCTAAGAGCATAGCTCGATCAGAAAGCATGGAGAGCTTGATCTGAGAGCATAGCTCGATCAAAAAGTTTGGAGAGCTTGATCTGAGAGCATTACTCGATCAAAAAAATGGCGAGCTTGATCTAAAAGTATTACTCGATCAGAAAGCATGGAGAGCTTGATCTGAGAGCATAGCTCGATCAAAAAGTTTGGAGAGCTTGATCTGAGAGCATTACTCGATCAAAAAAATGGCGAGCTTGATCTAAAAGTATTACTCGATCAGAAAGCATGGAGAGCTTGATCTGAGAGTATTGCTCAATCCAAAAGCTTTGAGAGCTTGATCTGAGAGCATGACTCGATCAAAAAGCATGGAGAGTTTGATCTGAGAGCATAGCTCGATCAGAATGCATGGAGAGCTTGATCGGAGAGCATAGCTAGATCGGAAGCATGGAGAGCTTGATCTGAAAGCATTGCTCGATCAGAAAGCATGGAGAGTTTGATCTGAGATCATTGCTCGATCAGAAAGCATGGAGAGCTTGATCTGAGAGCATTACTCGATCCGAAAGCATAGGGAGTTTGATCTGAGAGCATTGCTTGATCTGAGAGCATTGCTCGATCTGAAAGCATAGGGAGCTTGATTTGAGGGCATTGCTCGATCAGAAAGCATGAAGAGCTTGATCTGAGAGCATTGCTTGATCGGAAACGATGGAGAGTTTTATCTGAGAGCATTGCTCAATCAAAAAGCTTGGAGAGCTTAATCTAAAAGCACAGCTCGATCAGAAAGCATAAAGAGCTTAATCTGAGAGCATTGCTCGATCAAAAAGCTTGGAGAGCTTGATCTGAGAGTATTGCTCGATCAGAAAGCATGAGATTAATCAGAGAGCATAAAGAGCTTGTCTTGAGAGCATAGAGAGCTCGATCAGAGAGTGCGAGAAGTTCGATTAGAAAGCGCAAAGAGCTTGATCTGAGAGTATAGCTCGATCAGAAAGCATAAAGAGCTTGATCTGAGAGCATAACTCGATCAAAAAGCATAGAGAGCTTGATTTGAGAGCATAGCTCGATCAGAAAGCAAGGAGAACTTGATCTGAGAGTCTAGCTCAATCAGAAATCATGGAGCGCTTGATCTGAGAGCATTGCTCGATCAAAAAGTATAGAGCGTTTGATCTAATAGCATAGCTCGGTCAGAAAGCATGGAATGCTTGATCTAAGAGCATTGCTCGATCATAAAGCTTGGAGACCTTAATCTGAGAGCATAGCTCGATCAAAAAGCTTGGAGAGCTTGATCTGAGAGCATAGCTCGATCAAAAAGTATGGAGAGCTTGATCTGAGAGCATTACTCGATCAAAAAGCATGGAGAGCTTGATCTGAGAGCATTGCTCGATCCAAAAGCATGGAGAGCTTGATCTGAGAGCATTACTCGATCAAAAAGCATGGAGAGCTTGATCTGAGAGCATTGCTCGATCCAAAAGCATGGGAAGTTTGATCTGAGAGCACTACTCGATCTGAAAGCATGGGGAGCTTGATTTGAGGGCATTGCTCGATCAGAAAGCATGAAAAGCTTGATCTGAGAGCATTGCTCGATCGAAAACGATTAAGAGTTTTATCTGAGAGCATTGCTTAATCAGAAAGCTTGGAGAGCTTAATCTAAAAGCACAGCTCGATCAGAAAGCATGGAGAGCTTAATCTGAGAGCATTGCTCGATTAGAAAGCTTGGAGAGATTGATCTGAGAGTATTGATGGAGAGTTTGATTTGAGAGCATTGCTCGATCATAAAGCTTGGAGAGCTTGAGAGCTAAAGAGCTAGTGAGCTCTTTCTAATCTAAGAGATTTGAGCACGCGAAATGAGCGATCTAGCCACGCGATCTGAAGCTGAAAATCAGAGTGATCTAAGCGTGCAATCTGAGCGATCTGGCTATGCTATCTGAGAACTCTTATTTGGAACGGGCTTCAGTATTTTGATAATAACTTGAGTTGTAGACCTCATATTTGGATGATTATTAGATCGTCGGAAAGCTAACTCGGAGGGCTACAATTCTTGTGTTTACCACTTAGCCAGATTCAAACTTTATCCTACTCAGATTTTCACATTTGATGACATGATTCTAGATTAAGAAGTTGGGATTTGTTGAAGAAGTTGAGACTTGAGGGGAAAACATGGAGAGCTGTTGTGAATCAGGCCCTCCTTCTAGCGTCAAAATGTTGATACATAATTCTGCACCAACCAGAGAATTCCGATTGACCTTGTCAAAACCGGATTGGATGTGCACGTGATTACGAATAACCAACAGTGGATGAATAATAAATGCAATAAAGTAAATGGCAAAGAGATTTTTAAAATGGTTCAGCAAGTTAGAACTTGAGTCTACGTCCACTGTTATCTTATTGTTTTTTAGAGCTTACAAATAACAGTATAATTTTTAGGAAAATTTGCTTAGAACAATTGCCCAACCCCCTTGAAAACAAGACATGATCAGTTTATATAGCACCCATTTACATGATAAAGTTGAGATAAGATTCAAATACGTAGAATTAGGAAGTTGCATGATCTTCAACTATCTTAGTTGGAGTCTAAGTCAATCTGAATATCTTCCTTCCAAATTAAGCCAATCTAAATATCTTATCTCCTAATAGGGAATTGACCGCACAACATTAAAAAAAATTATTTTATTTGATTACGATTTTGAAATGAATTTATAATAACAATAAATTGCGATTTTAATCAAACTCAAGATCCATTGTCCACCATATTAATATATACACATAAAAAATATGGTGATTAACAAAAAAAAGACATATCAAAGATTGTTCATGAGAAAATAAATTGTAGAAATTAATATGGGTCGGGACTGGGAGTTACAAAATGCCCGTTGGGTCGAGCCTGGGCATTACCTGCCATCCTCGTAACGAGTCGAACACAGGCCAAGGTCCCGGGCCAAGGGATACCCGGCCTGGCTCGGCCCATTACCATCTCTATAGTCTACGCGCAAGAGAGTTTTTTGGGCATTGAGTGGACTTAGGAGTGAGATTAGTAGCATAGGATTGAGGGGAGTATGGAGATGAAATTGTGTTTGAGGGGAAAGCGGAATCGGAAGCACGGGTGCAAGTCCAATATGGTTGAGTTGGTTTTGATGACATAGTTGACAAAAAAGTTTGAGCAATGGCAGGGTTAGAAAAGGCAAAGACGTAAACGAAGGTTATCCAACTTATGATGTAAAACCAGAAAGGATGTCCCTCTGTTGAGCATTTGCCAGTTGGCGACTTCGTTCAGCATTTGCTAGTTAATGGCTCTGTTGAGCAATGATGCGACTATTTTGAGCATTTACTTACTACTAAAAGAGATTTTGGTTGGCATGCCTCAAAAGGTAATAAAACAAAGGAGAAAAAGGGTGTATATATAAAGATGGAATGGTGATATTTTATAACATTTGAGAATGAGATATATCTTCTTGTTCTTTTTTCTCGAGGATTGATATAGGCTGTTGTAAGGTGTGTATGGTGAGGTAAAGAAAGTAAAAGTGGGTAACTAGCAGAAAAATTCTTCTTGTTGTAAAAGGTAAAACAAAGTATAGGTTTAGAAAGTGTTTATTCTTGGTGTAGAATGGTTTAAAATGATTTCCTTATTTTTATTCAATCATATTATAAAATTTTTAATTAATTAACTTTTTATTCATATAAATATTGTCAATACAAACTATTTAAGTTAAAAAAGGAGCTTAAAGTTCGATTGTGAACTCAATCTCAAACTAAACTCACACTGCAATGATCTTTTAGAGAGAAGATTCTTATGAAATTTGACATAGACCAAAAGAAATTTCTCACTCTTATAATAACAAAATTGGGCCATGATTCACAAAAGCCCACCAGTCTGGCCTAGTTTCTGTCAAAGTACTCGACCAGAGAGCCCAGGCTTTATGGCGTTTGCTTGGTTGGTGGGATCATTTTTCATTTCCTATCGACTTTGATGTTAACTAATTAAGTAACAACAACCGACGCACACGGCTCAATGGCATTGGAACAGAAAATTCCCCCAATTGTATCCCAAAATCAAGCAACAAGGTGAGCACCTCTAGGCAAAACATTGCTTTCAATCAATTTTCATACCAACACACATTGAAACCAAGATTGCAAATGGTAATAACATTAGTTGACTTGATACAATTTTCAAGAGAGAAGGACAAAGTAGAAAGTTAGCAGATACATATATTAATATTAGATTAGATGTGCTATTATTATTACAGAGCTCCCATATGCTTAGTTTATAATATTATAAGACTCATTATTAATAATTTAATACATAATTAAGCCAGAAGCCAGAAGTTCTTCTGCCATCTAGTGCTGATAAGGTATCCACCCATGCCTTTGCTTTGCTTCCTCACACCAACAGTCAAGCACTCTGCATTTTTTATGCACTGCTCCACAAACTCCTCGGTTCTGCTGGTCCCACAGAAGCTACAAAATAAACCCACAACCATCATATAGATCTTAATCAGAGATCATGATGAAAAAGAACCATAGATCTAAGGATGAAGAAAATGGGGTACTTTTGTTAATTTTAGACCCACCAGTTAATGAGTGGAGATGGCTTCTTTTGACCCAGTACTAGCACAGATACCTCTAGCTTTTTAACTTGGCTTATCACAGTAGCTAGTTTTGGTCCCTGGATCACTAATGCTTCAACTTCCACCTGCATTGCCCCCAAAAGCAGAGAAAACACAACACCACTTTAACTAAAGAGACAGAAATGCGTGCTATCACAAACAAAAAAGTTAAAGTGACTGAAGAAAAAAACCCAGATTTCTACTCTGGATCCTGGGAAGAAAAAGATAAAGCTGAACAAAGAAATTTGGCGGGTAAACATGTTCCCTCTTCTTCATTTCAAGAATATTAACAATATTCTAAGGCAAAAGGAGTAACCCAAATGCACCTCAAAATAGCCTCTCACAAAAAGCACAATAAGATGTAATCTTATTTTTCAAATTATGATGTTGGATCTATCAAACAAAAAAAAAAAAAATTCAAGGAAAAAGAAACAATGATCTTACTTAACATAGGAACTTTAACATGAAGAAACAAACATTATACATACCTCAGGTTTGCAGGCCTTGCAGAGGGCGCCAAGAGAGTTGGCAAGGTAAGGAGAATAATTTGAAGAAGTGTCATGGTGGTGGGAAGGAGGAATGACATGAAGAAGAGTGAGTAAATCACCCTTGTTGGTTACATGAGTAAGAGCCCACATCATTGCATGTTTGGAATGAGAGGTTTGATCCACTAAAACCATCACTCTCTTCCTCATCACCAACCCACCATTATCTCCACCATACATGTTTAGCCCTTCCATTTGTTTCAAACTTCCCTCACCGCAGTACCTATTTTCACTATAGTGGTTGTTGCTACCACCACCGCCAGTTCCCCACCTCCAAGATGATGATCTCCAAGCTTCTTTTCCGCTAAGTTGCCTCAAAAACGAAACCGATGTTGGCATTTTGCTACACACTTTGCCAAATGTAAAGAGAAAGTTATAACGCTTCACCGGTGTAAACTAGCATGCATGTGCAAGTACTAAAAGAGAGAGAAAAAAAAAAGAGTGTTTTGTGCTGGGAGGTTGTGTGTTTTAATAGTGTAATGAGATGAAAAAAGGGAAAAGCTTTTGAGTGTTGATGCAGAAGATAATGAAAATGAAAATAAATGAGATAAGAAAAAGACAAAAAGAGGGATGAATGGGGAGTTAAGGTGATTATGCAAAGCCAAGATTTTTTATCTTTGTGCAGGTTAAAGTCACGGGTATCACTGCAGGGTAAAATTGTAGCAGTAGAGAGAAAGAAATAGTAAACAATCTCTGCGTTCAGTTTTTGATGATGAAAGGGAGGATTCTCTGAAGTCTGAACTATAAATATTGATGATTAGATTCTTTTGTACAAATCCTTTAAATTTCTTATATATATATATATATATGTGAACTGTGATTTCTTTAAAATACTAATAAATAAGCCATATGCAATGAGAGGTAGTCTGCATAGCATATGGGCACGGTGGTCCATGTTTGTGAAAGATTAATATCTATGTAGACTAGGGCCCCGGCTAGCCGATCGACTTGTAGCGGCCATTCCATTTAAGTTGATCGGTCACTTTTCAGGCGAACCCCATATGCGATAGGCTTCTTCAACTTGTGATTAATGGGACAAAACAACAGTTGTATTCTTTAGATAACAAGTTCCTGAAAATGGGATCCCTTTTATGGTATGCAAAAGGAACCACAGCCTGGAGACTCTCTCAAACCATACCCAACTTAGTATATGTGAAAGAAAAGAGAAATTACACTGAATTTCTGATTGCGTGAGCCCTTAGAAGGTTCTTCAAGATAAGCTGCTACCATTATATATATATATACATATAAAATATCTTGAAATTTTAATTAAAGAGATTAGTCGGTCAAGAAGGTTTATTCTATTTATTGACATTTTGAGTTCGAATCACCTTAATATTTACCCATTACATTTGTGAGTTACTTTGAAATATTTGATTTGTAGGATGTTTAATGTATTCTGAAGATTAGTTGAGGTATGCGCTAACTTCACAAACCCTAAAATAAAAAAATCATCAATCAATCAAAGAGTTATATTTGATGGGCATGTTAAAAGCTTCAGAATTTTTGAATTTTATAAATACGTAGCTGGCAATTCATTTAATTTGGTACATTACAAATGGTTAGAATGAAATAACTGTGCTGAAATAGCAGTGAATGCAATCCAAATAATAGTTGTAAAATTATTCACCCAACCCGGATAGTAATTTATCTTCAACATGATGCGGTTCAAAGCCAAAATTGAATGAAGTTGGATGGCCTTAATGTTTGAAGGTTAATTTAGACATTAAGGTTCGAAACTATGAGTTGGTACTATTATTGAGATCGGTCAGCCACAAACTTTTAAAAGGGTAAGTTAGTAATGATAATTGATAAACACAGGTAACTTCAGCTACAGAGAAATAAATTCACTCTCTTTTCTTTGCTTCTCCCTCATCACAATGACTGATCACTGATCAGAAAATCAGACCCACTATAAAGAATCCTGATCTGACAGACAGCCTATAATTTTTTTAATTTTTATTATTTATTAATAATAAATATAAATTTAGGGAAATGTCAGAATTGGGTCCCTCGTGAATTGGGATAATACAGTCAGATGGTCGTACTTGCGAATAATTGCTCCCGAGTTAATCGCTGAGTCTGGCCTTATCACCAAAATTACCATTATATCCTTCATTCCAAATAAATTTGATCTCACTAGTTTCAACTTGTATCTATATTACAATTTACAAGTCATGGGTTGACAAAATCTTTCAATTCCAAGGAATAATTTTTCTTTTTTTAAAATTTTGTGTATATAATTCTATATCTTGTTTAATTGAGTCGAATTTAAGTTGTTTATAAAATTGTTCATGAAACCAATATCAAAGCAGTTTCCTTTGTTTTAGCAGAATCACATATGAAATTAAATTTACCTAAAACTTAACATACAAAAATTGCCAAAAGATAACTTATTGATAATAAATCGTGGCAGGATGTTTATCTTTCACATTGAGTCTTGAATACTGTAGTCAGAAGGCATTATAAAAGTCCACCTTCACGTTCACAGTGCCATTAATGTCCATTAATTAGCAATTCCAATGTTATTAAAACCCATTTATGAAAAAAAAAAAAAGAACTATTAGTCTTTTTCATTATCCTTTTGAGTGTGACGGGCTGTCAACATTCTTTTGTCCAATAAAATATGGTTGTTCAAGATCTTATAGTTGAGAACGCAGTAACAGGATGAGTAGTTTTAACAGCAGGGTTTAAATTAGGAAAATCAGTGAAGTAAAAAAGCAATTCGCCCACTTCAGTATCTTAATATCTGATAGAATTTATTTTTCATTGACTTGTTTAAAGTATCTGCATCATAGAGTCCTTCTTTGCTAAAGAAAGATTTTGAGTATTCAAGAAGAGTAAAAGACAGTATTTTTTAGTTGTAGACAATATTTTGAGTAAAACTTTCTCGAGGTCTAATTTTAAGGTCAGGAGTGAAGATCTAATCCAAACCCCAAATGGCAAATCAAACTTTGATAAAAAAAAATTCTTGCAAAAGCATGAAAATTAGCAACTGTAGTTCTCCCCCTTTAGCGTAAACAAGTAGCATAATCATTTACTTCAAAAGGTTCAAGCGGCGATCTGTGAGCGAGTTGATTGACAAGGCTTGGCACACAAAATGAAAATCTAGGCATCACGAATCATCTGACAATCCAAATGCCTTGCTTGTTTTTAAAAAAAAATTTGGGGTCATAGATTTTTGTGCAAATTGAGGCAAGCCATTGAAAAGGCCAAATGGACAGTGTTTAGTTCGATTTATTTAAAAAAAATAAAATATAGACAGAGGAAGACTGATACTAAACTAAGAGAATAGAGACGAAATGAATTCATCACCAGCTTTTTCTTTTTTTTCTTTGTTTTGATTCTCGGGAATAGTGGAACTGTAACTGTAACCATACATTGTGTGTGTGATATACAATTACCATAAACATATCTTGGTTGGCTTTGGCCGGTGCGCCACCTTTTCATGTATTTCTCATTAATTTTCAGATGCATTGGCCATTGGGAGTTGCCTCTTTAAAAATTGCAATGAGCGCGTTAAACTTTAATTTCAATTTACTCTTTTCATCTGCTAACCAACCCCCAGTCTCCACATCACATCTCTTTCATATAGATAAAATATAATTACAAAAAAAAAAAAAAAAATCAATAAAACTTCTCTTCACGCGAGATTTTTTTTTTTTTTTTTAAAAGATCTGATGTAATGTAACATTACTGTTGCATTTTAGTTTCGATATCTCTGTATTTTTTATCAAAACCAAACCGACTAATTCTTAAGATTTGAAATTGAACTAGAACCAAAACCTTTAGTTCTGTCCTAAAACCTAGAATCAGAACATAAATGATAAACATAGTTTTTGATTGTGATTTCAAAACTCAGTAAATTTTAATTACCCCTATTTAAAAAATTACATACCCCCCAATATCACAAAAATTTAATTTAATCCCAATTCCTACTAAATACACCCAAGTCCATCTTCCCAATTCTACCTTTTAACCCATGCTCACCCCTAATTATTTATAACAAATAAAGAATCAGTTCAAGTTCATTGTTGGGAGCAATTACCAATGAACCTGAATTCTAGTTCAGTCATTGCTATGTCTCCACCTGGATCCATTGTCCTATTAAAAGCCCCAAATATTAGAGGTTGATGGTCATCAAATCCTTTGTATTGAATATCATTTGCTTTAAATACTGTTATCATACAGGAGAACGCTTTAACTGTTCACTATACATTATAAAGGATGGAATCACATCCCGGATAACGTCATGGTTGGCAATTGCCTGCAAATTCATTCTTCAATGAACTGTGATCAGTTTCCGATACCACGTCTGTGCATTTTTCTACTATCTGGTGGAAATTCAGCCAAGCCAACTAATTTTAGTAAAATTCAAAGGTTAGTTAGATTAGATTGATTATTCTCTATCTGAAACTACCATCATCCTTAATTTGGATCAGTTCTTCCCATATAATTAGATTGACCCAGCACTGAAATATCTTCAGGAGACACATTAGTGCACCAGTACTCAAATAATGCCGAGCACCTCGAGCCCTGCAACACAAAATTATGCCTAATTGAACGCCACAGCCAATTGTATATGAATAATTTTTAATTTATTAGAATTTTGCAAGAATGCCAAGCAGAGATCAAAAGTACCTCCGTCTTTTGTCTTATTCTTGAGTTCTGATAAACGAGAAGTTTCTGATCTTGAAATCCCAATGAGAAAGATATTCATGAAATGCATCACCTTTCAGTGCTAAGTAAGATTTCTTCGGAACTATGGACTTAATTGTATTGAAAAGACTTGACTTCACCTCACTGCATTGCAACAACCAAAGAAGTTACAGGTGTGATTACATTTATCACGAAATGCGTATACTACCACCTTGTATTGATAAAAAAATAAAAGTGTTATAAAACTACATTTACAACAATTTTAGCTTAATGAATTGAAATGGAAATGGAACATGCGTTTGCAATTATGATCACCACACGCATAAAGAAATGATGCTATAGCACAGTGAAGCATGGTATGTAAATTTTCTAACACACACAACTGTATAATCTCATTCAAGAAACACTCATGTATGCAGCTTTATTACATATACAACAGTTAGAAAAATTTGAATACTTAAGCCCTGTTCTCCAAATGTCTCCCATCTGTCAGAGGGAAGCACACGAGATTGGATTCATGGTTCATCCCTCAAATGTTCAAAACATGCAAATGATATTACAAGCATGAAGGTATAGATGTACTTTCTGACATGCTTTACTTTGGGTAATTTAGGATGCCATCATATTAGTTTGTGCAAGAAAACATTTCCCACTCAAATCCTTCATTCTTCAGCGGCTAGATTTGATCCTACAGTGAAACACTTTTTGCAGCAAGTGGAATCCATGCTGTGCATTGTGGAAGTCATCTGTGAGTGTTCATCACGCCAGCTGATGAGATCTGATTCCTACAAGGAAACTTTGACATTCCAAATTCCTTCTAAAGTCCAAATCATTATCATGAACCACATATGAAAAAAGTAAAAGGAAAAATCCTTTATAGGGTCATATAACTACTAGTTTGGCACTTTGAAGTAACAGATCAGAATCAAAATTAGTTTGCACATCCCTTCAAGTTTTACATTTGAAAGCATCTGTCTT